TAAATCTGTTTCTTTCAACCCCATCTTAAAAGGTCAGTCAATGATTCACTCTCTATAAGTCTGTAACTCTCACAGTGATTCATAAGTAATGAATAAGAGTTATCACAAAAACACAACACCCCCCAAAAAAAAAAAAAAAAATACTAAACCCCGAAAAAAAAAACTCTCAGTACTCCCACCTCTACCGCGGAGTCTACCCCTTCATTTTCCCGAAAAGAAACCCGACTTCAACCAGAAGAACTGGCAGGAGGACGTCGACAACCGCCTCAAGTTCGGCATCGCAAAGGCCATCCAGCACCAGGTGCTGTCGCTCGGCGACTCGGTTGTGTGCGTGCAGGGCTGGCGCGGTGGCATGGGCCATACGAATACCATCCGTGTCGTGCCGGCGGATCCGAGGAATTTAGGGCTGGCGGAGGCGTGAGGTGGTTTGATGGTGTGATGGTGATGGGGGCCCCCCCCTTTTGCAGGGTCTTTTTTCTTTCATGATGATAATCCAATCGATGGGTGATGTTAGATTTGGTTTGTTTTATTTTCTTTCATGTTTTTCTAGTTAATTCTTTTCACTTTCTTGCTTTGCTGCTTCCTACAAAAAAAAAAAAAAAAAAGAAAAGAAAAGAAAAAAATACACAGTACTTAATGAAAAATTTGGTTTCTGGTCAGTCTGGGATGATAATTAATGGTTCCCGCTTTTTCTTTTGCGGTCTTTATTGTTTTTTAAGGGTTATTAAAAAAAAAAGAAGAGAAAGAGAAGTACTTGTGAAGCCTAGCTTCCCCAATGAAAGAAGTGTTCCAGCTATCTGATAATATATGGGAAGATCGTTTTTATTTCGCCTTCTCTCAATGCTTGATTCCTATTCAATGAGTTATGTTTATACTAGTTGGAATACAAAAAATTAAGCCAGGTAAAAGAATACAAAAATAGTTACCAATATCTTGCACTCCGCCCCGCTCTTTCTGCTCTGCCTCAAGTGTGTGTGTTTTGTGTTTTGTGTTTTGTTTTTGTTTTTTTTTTTTTTTTTTTTTTTTTTTTTTTTTTTTTTTTTTTGACGAGAGCCTGTAAAACTTGAAGGAAAACACAGTTTTACTTCCGAATGCTTCTTTGCGTAGCAGTGTACAAGGGACATGGCAATGGCATGGTCGTGTGGCTTAAGACAAGAAGAAAGTGGGGAGGGGAGAAGGGGGTTGGTTATTTACACAATGGGGAACTGGATACTGGAAAGTTTGCCAAAAAAAGACAACAAAACGTGAGGTAAAGAGGCCGAAATTATTTTAGGAAATAGAGAGGGAAATAGGATGCATTGTATTTCCCATGCTCCATGCAAGGCTGGATTGGTTGGGGTTGGGTGGGACGAGGTATTGACGTTTGCACCCTATAGGTAGTTCCGGTTTCATTTCCTTTTTTACCCATCCCATCTTCTCCCCTTTTTGTGCTGTTCTTGTGGGTAGGATAAAAGTGTGGTGTTTGGAATTAGTTCAGATTTTATTTTTTTATTTTTTATATATACATAGCTAGCTGAGCTCATGGATTCATTCATTTTTTAGCGACATAACCTCTTTTTTTTCTTCTTTCCTTTCGTGCGTCGTATTCGTCAAATTCGTAGGTCAGGGCGTAAGATGATAGATGGAACTCGCTATGATAATGACTGTGCCGCTAAAACAATGAAAGAAAGGAAAGCTGCTCCAGGTGACGGTGTACGTGGTTCGAAGAAACTTATCAGGAGAGCATTGAAGTGTGCAAGCTAGTAATCGTCTCCTAACTCGACATTCTCATCCCTGCCGACTTCGAAAGTCTCTCGCTCCCGATCGCGTTCCCGTCCACGATCCTTGAGTCTTAGGTTGCGTCTATCAATGTACGTGTGGAATTGGTGCCAAGAACTAATTTATGGTTTTCTTTGTTAGTTATGCCTGTCCTATTATAAAGTCTACACCCGCGGGTTGATTGTGCTGGGATAGTATACTTACTTCGGGGCATGCAGTACATATCTAGCCATCGCTTCCCGGAAGCGACTCTTGTATTCTTTCGGACTAGTGACGGTTGGCCGATTCTTCCCCCCGCCAGCAAATCCGCGATCCTTAATCCACGACTCTAATTTCTTATCCCAAGTATATGTACGGATGCAATCGATGATTCCGACGACGAGTTCCTGGCGGTTTTCGTCAATCGCGATCATGAGTGAGTAGTCCATAACGTTCTGTCGGGCGAGGAATAACGTGTCATTCCATACGCTCTGACTTAGTAGTTTCTTGGAGTGTTCTCGAGTGAACAAGGGGCTCTCGTAGATGAACTCCACCATGTTTTCGTCAAGGAGGACTTCGTTGCGCTCTCCTGTGCTTTGCACTTTGCGATTTCGCATTGAACCCTTTAGGTCGAAGATCCTTGTTGGGCTCCGGTCGTAGAACAGGTTCTCCATGAGAAGAAGGAACCAGTTAAATTCGACACCAGTCGCAGGGTTTTTGATGATTACTTGGTAGAAGCCGAACATCTTCGCGATGGCCGAGGGCAGTTCGTGAAATAGAGCCTCAGACATGATTTGGAAGTATGCCGGTGCGAATTTTAGGAAGGCCTGGGTCTCGATAGTTGAGAGCGATTTGAGGATGAACCGATCGTCTAGGGTTTTGAGGAAGAGTGACTTGGTTTTTCCGCCTCTGGAATCCCATTTCATGCAACGGGAGAGTGACCCCACAATCCGGTCTGAGACACCGCATTTTCTTCGAAGTGCATCGAATTGCTCGGCATAGAAAACTTTGCAAAGCATCTTTGTCTGGCTTTCTTGGAACTGGTATTTGAGATGTGTTCCCGTCTCGCGCAACAGTGACTGCTCGACTTCTGGCTCACGACGTCCATCGGTGGCCTTGACTTCAATTATTTCGTCATGCTCTTGGATGCTCCAAAGCTTATTCTTGTAGTCCTCAGAGTCCAGAGCAAAGGCTATCAGGGAGCTTGGTTCATCTTCTCGAACAATGATGTCACAATCTGCGAAAACGTGGTCGGAATCGCTGAGAGGGTATTCGAGCGGGGCCCAACCGCTGGCGGAGCGTTCGGCCCAGAAGTTCGTTAACACTTTAAGCAGCGAGGTTCGTTCATATTTCGGCAACTCCTTTAAATCAAGTTCATCAGGTGACAGCTTATTTGCTTCTTCAGCGGAGTCAACAATCTGTAGTTCGTCCAGCAGGCTTTGTTCGCCATCACTGTGCTCCTCTTCTCCTGCCCCTTCGCCCTCTGCCTCTGATAGAGCTTGCCCAGCTTCTTGCACACTTTCTTCTGATTTTCTGGATACCTCCTCTGGTTGGTCCTTGGCCTCTTCTAAACTTTCTGCAGGCTGAGCAGGTTTCGCCATGTCGCTGATCAACGTGGTTGATTCCTTTGAAGTAGCAGCAGATGGCTGGCTTGACAAGAAGTCCTCGTCTGATGGATCCCGTTCCTCAACTGCATCTCTCACGTTCTTGTAAACTTCTACAATCGGATTTGAGGATGCCATGGGATACGCGCGAGAATGCTTTCTTTGCAATGCTCGCTGTTGCCGTTCCCTCAGACGTTCTTTTTCAAATTCCCGGCTGAGTTGTTCAAAATGTTTTGCGAGATTAGAAACGCGCGAGCTCCTGGTTTGTACTGAGCGCGGTATCAGGGAGTGATGACTAGAAGTGAGCTTATTAGATTTTAAAGAGGGCAAGCCTAAGCGCTCCGAAAGCCTCTTTTCAGTCCCTTTCGTTTTTGAGCCATTGTTTTGTTCTACCTGCTTCTCGGTCTTTTTAGGACTTGAACCGCCGGTTGATGACCTTTGCAGGAGTTGCACTCCAGACGCATTGCTATTCTCATTATGAATATAACCTGGTTGCGACTGTGCTCTAAGCAAGGGCGGAGATTTTCCGCTTGGGCCTTTTCGAGTCGATCTATCCGCTGGCCTTGGTATACCAGAGGGTCTAGGTGTTTGAGGTGCGCGTATGGCAGGATGTTCAGCGCTATCTTCGCTGCACCTCTCCCCTTGGGCTTTGGCCTGGGTTTCGGTCTGGGTTTCATTTGAATCAATTGGTAGCAGCTCCGAAGCCGAACGGACATTTTCATCAACCGCAGGTTGACCTCCAGTATTATTTTCAGCTAAAGGTGGGGAGATGGGCTCAATCTGACAACTAGAATTTTCCTCCTCGCCATGGGGAGAGGTAGGCAGGTGTAACAGTCGAACATCTTCCTCTGTGGGAATCGCTGTCTCTGGGAGCTTCATAGGTCCCTGTTTCTCGATGTTTGCAAGAGTGGGAGAATGAAGCCGCTCCGGACTTTCAACATCTCTATTTCGCTTACTTGAATGCTCTTCCACTACCGAAGCGAGAACACTCTTAGCCTCTTGAGGAGATAGTGTCATCCTTCTCGCTAATTTTGGGCTTTCCGCCAATGGTGAAGTAGTTGTGCCATCTGCCTCCTCTGCCTCAATAGGGGTCGTTGCTGCCGTCTCGTCAGTAGAAGCGAAGGAAGTGACAGAAACGTCTTTATCGAGGAATATCCTTTTGAGTTGTAATGTTGCCAATCGCCGAATATCTTTTTCGGAGGGGAAGAAGTTCCGCTCAAATTCTGCGAACGTCGCATCCCACTCCACCGCCTTCTCTTGCGTTCCATGAATCACCCTATTCAGTGGGACAATTTCCCAGTATCGTGAATTCATGTATAGTTCTTGATGCTGTTTAATGAGGGCTAGATGCTCGTCATTCGCCCGTTTTGTGAGGGCTTCAATTTCTTGCCTGCAATTCTCAGCCATTTCTGGTATGACACTGTTAACGTTAATACTTTTCAACCTGGCCTTGACGGATAACATGAATCGATTCAAGCGCTTTTCAGCTTGCATGTAAATCTCGTTTCGGAGTCTGAGATCTTTATCAACCTTCCACGTAACGCGGGGTCGCGGGACAATTATTTCAAGCAGGTTGATAGGGTCATAATGAATACGAATAGCCACATCTTTGAAACCAAAATATCGAAGGTGATCGCGATGCAAGTCATGCGGACAGACACCGGCGCGTGCATGTAAATTACCACACCAAAATGATAATTCAAGGTATTTTCCAAAAGAATATCTCCAAGTGCTTTCCGACATCGGAATAGCTGGTGTTTCGTTGCCACAGATCTTGCAACAACTCCACATTAAAATCACGTCCTGCAATCCGCGGAGTTTGGATGGATGTGGCTGTACAATGACAGTAACCTGGGCTTCACCATGTACATACTGTCGGTGATGGCTAAACATCCGTTCGTCACAGCCATTTACGTCACAGACATCGTTGGCGCTCAGGCAAAGTTCCTCGACGTACTGACCTAGTGTGAAATCCGCTTCGAATATCCTGTCTGATTCGTGCTCATTGTAGAATCCAAGCGCAAATATGTCCGGACCGGCACACGGAACAGAAGTTGTGGTACAAACAAGGCTGTGAAGCACGACAATATTTTGATGGGCGTAGGGATCAAACAAGTTGTCGTTTCCGGAGATATAGGTTTCCCACTGCCTCTTTTGTGTTTGGTAGTTATGGAGCGCTCTGTCATATTCTGCATCGTGAACGGCATGGAGCACTTCCTTTACTTTGGCTGGAGCACCAGAGAGGGATTCATGGATCATCTCGGGAGTGATGAGAACAAATTTTTGAGATTTTGCTTTGTCGTCATTTAACTGCTCGGTTGAGAAGTCCTGATCACGGAGCCGTTTGAGATATGCAAGCTGTCTCTCAAGTTCTCTCGCCCGCATGAGAAGGTATGGAGGCATGAATTTTACGAATGGGGATGCGGAGAGGATTTTTGTTTGATGCTTCTCGACCATATCTTCATAGAAGGCAGGCTCAGTAGTAGAATTGGAGTTATTCTTTCCACTAGAAGCGTCCGTAGTGGTGTCACTGACAGAAATCGAGCCTTGGGATGCTACAGGTTCTTCCGCCGGTTTTGCTCCGTCAGTGATGGCTGACTGGGAGCTGGTTGGAGTGTTGTAATTGTGTGTTGTAGTTCTCGAATCGCTGCGTTGTCCGGTCCCATCTGTCATGCTAGAGGCGGCACTTGTTTTGGCCGTTGATGTTGTATCCGGAGGCGAGGAAGGTATTTTCGCAAACTCGTCCCTCATAAGACAGGTCTCCAACTTCAAATTGTATACAACATAGACCATGAATTCCGTAATCCGTTTAATCTTCATGAGGAGGTCATTTTCAGCACCACGTAGGACAATTGTGCATCCCAATTCCTTCGGGCAGCCAGATATATACATGTAAGTCTTCTTGCGGTTTTTATGGACATACGTTTTGACATCGAAGCTACCGCATTTGCCGGGGTACGATGGATTGGTGGCTAGCCTATCCATAGATGTAATAATCCTAGTTTGGGTACACCTAGATACTGCCTCAATTACCGAAGGCTTAACATTGTAAGCAGTGGCGATATTTGCTTTTTCCAATAACTGAAGCGCTAACCCAGAAACATTCTTTTCGACAAGAAGAAGATTAGGTTTGAGGGACGATATTCTATTGACCAAATTCTCGAGGAATTCACGTTCTTGACGAATGACAGGCTCTAGACTCATGAAATGCTGCTGCTGGCGTGCATATTCCAGTGGAAATGTAATGATAAGGATATTTGGTCTGGAAATACTGCGCGGCATACTTTTCAGAGCTAGGTTTTTCGTAAAAACCAGGCCAGACACGTAGGATGTATCCCCAGGTCGGCCCCCAGGTATCTTTTTCAGCTTCACGTAGTGACGTATATCCATCGCATCACCTTGTTGAACGTTAGGCTCTACATCATCCGTGGCTTTGAGAAGGATCGGTAATAGAGCAGTTTCCCAAGAATTGGAATGAGGAATATGATCATCTTTCAGAAGTTGCCGAAGGAGTTTGCGAACGTGGTCCATACTGGCTCGATTGAGTTCAACTGCAGGTGCGCCAGCACCTCTCATTGAGGAGCTTCTGGTCATCTTGAATCCGGCGGAGGCCGGCGATCCCTGCATAGATAGGGTTGGTGCGGGTTGATCATGGTGGAAGTACATGGGCTGGTTATCTTTCGAAGTGCGCGGGGATAGGGCCTGGTGGATGCTGCTCGCAACACTCAAATTACGCCGGCGCCCAGAACGCGGCAGATTCACTGCTCTCGAGCTACTGACGCTCGTATCGTCGCCATCGCGGGACGGGTACAATGCTGATATTCCGGACCGCTCACCCAAACGAGAACGACTCTTTCTGACGGCTGCAAGAAGGCCACCGAAAGACGCTTTCTCACTTTCGCCACCACTTTTAGAGAGACCGCCATCTGAGACAACCGCGAATAAGTTCGATTGTTCATCACCACTTGAAGCATCATCTGACAGGTACTGGGCAAGATCTGGATCAATAATGTTATCCCGGTGGAAGGCTGGAAGCCTGGATTCGCGGCTCATATCATCTGCAGCGCGACGCTGGAATGGGGCTCTATCCTCGTGGTAGGATTTGAAGCTGCGAATATATTGATGCCGAGAATGATGACGTTTATGGCTAATGGAATGTGGCCTTCCATTCATCGACGATTTCAGCGATCGCGACGAAGACGGCCTCGCAAGTTGGCGATCGGAATCAAATTCAAGGATGGCGGAACGTCGATTATTCCCGTCACCGGTACGTCGAGTTGCAGGTATGGCCATGGTGGGAGTCTTTAGCACATGATCAACCGATTGAGACACGACAGACGAAGCATCGTCGTCGGCCACGCTCAGGCGGGATATATTCCCATTGGAAATAGCATGGGGGCTCCGGGGATTTATAACAATAGGGCTCATGTCATCTCCAGATAGATCTGATGAATCATCCTGGTAAGCGATAATTTTACTCTCACAAGGTCTGCAAACCCGTATCGAGCCGGAATTTCCGAAATCAGCGCCTGGTATTAGAGAGGTACATTTCGCATCGAAAATCTGGCCGCAAGTGCGGCAGTGGTGTTTCCTTCTGAATGTGGAAAAAGGTTCACCACAATGGAAGCAATCCTTAGCATTTTCATCACGCATCCAGAATTCCTTGCTGAGAAGCTTGCTCCGGAAAGGCGGTGCCTCCTGCCGAGCTTGGGGAGGAGGGAATTTTCTTGCTCGGGCATCAAGGCCCTCATGATCAGCGCGGAACGAAATATGCACAGGGGTCGATGTGGACTGATGGCCATTTGACTCTGAGGACGACATCCTTGAGGGTCCAAAACCAAGTAGGCGCGATTGACTGATTTTGGAGGTGGCCTTTGCCTGGCGATCCTTGAATGAGGCCTTAGATGAGTGCGCGGATGATGGTTCTTTGTCGGTCATGGTGAGCGACGTTGCTAGTGTCGTAGGTGTTCTGCCTTCGTGGGTGGAACTATCCGTGGTCGAGAGTTTTGAAACGCTGTTCGTGACGTTAGTTGGAGCTGGGGAGTGATCGTTCGAGATCGACTTATTAGAGTTTCCAGGTTGGCTGTCCCTACGAGAGGGTTGCATATCGTGCGTTCCATCGATCGATGCTCTCCAAGCAGATCTTGAGAAAGATGTATCGAGTTCAGCTAGACCATGTCGATCCCCAGTTGCAGAACGTAACTTTGGAGACGCTGCGCGTTCAATGTTAACGCTTTCTGGCAAGCGACTTTCTCGAAAAGATTCATTGTTGTTGTGCCGTGCTATTAAAACAGGTGAATATGACTGTCGACTCGGTGCTGACTCCTGCTGCGACTGCGACTGGGTAGCGGTAGTGTGAATCGAACTATCCCGTCTCTCTGAACTTGCAGATTCGACATTCTGCATTATACTGGACGCGATGCTCCCAGAGCCGCTTCTACTGTGAAACGGAATATCCTTCATGGCGTTCACGTTTATTTCAGTCACTGTTGGATCAGCCACCCCTGAACTGGCCATGGTTAGAGGGGCAATCGGGGATTTCAACGATCCACCAATCGGTCCTGATGCTTTTGACGATACACTGGCAGGCTTGGAGGACAATCGTGACGACTTCCCTGTAGAGTGAGTTGTCGACCCTTCTTGTATTGGAGGGAAGGTGCCTAGAACCGGAGACTGGGATTTGGATGAGTTCGCAAGAGATGGTTGCACTTCGGCAGATCCTGTAGTTGCTTGTCCCGATATGTTTGAGGGAAACGAAGACGAGGTAGGGCTCCTAACCGCTGGTGTCTCTGCTGGTGTTATGTCAGATTGTCTTGAAGAGCCGCCAACCATATCTTTAACACCGCCCACGGAAGCTCGAAACCGATTATAAAGACCGCTAAGGCCGCCTTGCAAATCTCCCACTATGCCCTTGTTGTCCGTTGCTGAGGAGGTAGTAGGCGGGCTGGTAAGTTCATAGAAGACTGTGAGCTCGTCTGATTGGCAAGCGGCATTGTGTATCTGGTTTAAAGCTTCATTTCGATGTTCCCGTTCCGCCTGCGAGCTCATCGATGCAAGGGAGCCCCGTCGCGATGGTCGACCAAGTGGAAGAAATATGGAGGACGCGGAGGGGCTGGAGTTCCCCTGTGATTTTTGAGAAGCCATGTCCATACTAAACACGCTTGTATCCAAACTAAAAAGCAAAAGACGTCCTGGTCTGATCAAACAAAAGCCCCTCCTCGTACATGGTGGATAGTTGCAATGGCCCAAAGCTTATTCCATCGTTTGGTCGTCTATCTTAGTAAAGGAGACGTGACTATTCCGAGTATAGTGCGCAGATAACGGACGCATGCAAGACACGCAGAAACAGCTAAATCGAGGTGGAGAGAATCGACGGTCGTGGTCATCTCTGGGATCATACTTGCTGCCGCCTGGATGCCAACTCAACGTCGATGATCAACAAGAAGACGTCACAATCCGAGCTCACGACCGACCACAACCGAAGCAGCCAATGGGAGAGCGCCGTTGGAGCTGAGTCAGCCTGTGCAGATGACTAACTCGATTCTGCCAAAGCGGTGAGGAACGCGTGGTTACAATGGGGGTTGATTTAGCCCGATTTAGAAAGCATTGATCCGAAGAAACTCTCGCAGCGAAGAGCCAACTGTGAACTCTGTCAATCGGGTGTTTTATTTGGATGTGTTGAGTATTTTTTTTTTAACCATTTTACAAACTATGAATTGGCAACAATCGAGGATTAGTTATGTCCTACGATTCTGTTCAGCTCCAGCATGGAGACCCTGAGACCCTGGATTGCGCCTCTTGTCGAAGCTGCGTTGTGCTTATGCTTGGGACAGCCACTGCCGGAAGATGTGGCTCTACGTAACCCACTGAAGTTGGTCGATGATGATAGCATCCATCGAGTTCGCGTGAGAGATCGGAAATTCGTGCAGGTTGCTGAAGTACGCGTTCGGAACTTAGATAGACGGGTCACGAATCTACGCTGACATAACGGACCATCCATAGTGGTCTCCCGCTACAGGACCCGTCCGGGGTATTCTATCCGACTCTGTCACCGCCATCTCGAGCACTTTTTCTAGAGAGTCTACGGAGAGCTATAGGAGGAAGACCAGGAAACCTCTTAACAGAAATACCAAGGGCGCGATAATAAAGATCAATGAATTCGATATTGTTATTAGCCATGTTAAGGCTCCACCTGAGATTACTCTATCTGTTCTGGACTTCCGCGTTGAGGGATGCGAAGGTAGTAGTATTTTTGGCCGTCCAGTCGATATCACTGGTCATTCCAGTATATCCAGCATGGCCAGGAAGTGTTCGAGAAAGGAAAATGGCCAACGAAATGGCGGTGGTCTCCCAAATGGTGAAGGGCGGGAAGCGAATGTGCCCACAGATACGGATTCAGAGTCGGATGCGTCATCTCTGAGGTCCCACGCCTGTGCCTCCATCGCACCTCCAGCCTCACAAGACAATTTTATATCACAGCTTCCAAACAGTCGGCGATCGGAAAAACCACTCGCACAGCCTAGAAATGACTCTGCATTGCCTAAGAAGAACGCTACGTTGTTACTTTCCGCCCTCACCTCGAAATCGGGGCTGGAGCCAGATCCAGCTATTAAGGAAAATCTTGATAAAACGGCGGAAAGGCACAAGCCATCCTCTAGTCGATTAGACGTGGATATAGAGCATATTGGTTTCGCGACTCAACTCATCCCATCTATTGAAAACGCGATCCCTTTGGACGAGGAAATCAACCGCAATTGTAGTGGAGATGCCGAATCGTTACCCCCATCTGGGAGCCCACTTGCAAGGACACCCCGTACGCACATCTCCGGTGAAAGATCCCCATCCCTCAACCAGAACCGTCAAAGGGATAGTGCGGCAAGTAAAAGAAGTGGCGACAAGCCAAGAGACCACCTAGATCCTCAGATATCTCCGGAAATGGCTAAACCAACGACTAAGAATAAACTGATGCCTAACAATAGCCCCAAGACGAACACACAACCCGGCAAAGACGACCCCTGGAGCCAGATGGTCCGGATTCGACGTCGGGATGTTACAATTCGAAAGGACCAAGAAGAGTTGATCGAGATGAATGAATCCTGGTTTCCTCCAGAACCTGGGAAGCAAGCGCCACAAGCCCATGTCCCGATACACCTTTTGCAGAAATGGAATGATATGCTTCGTCGCAGGTCATCAAACGAGACAACTAGCACATGCGCGAACCCTCATTCTGCAAACGAGGATGAGGATCTCGACGCTGATCTACTGAAGTCTTCGCCAGAAGGCGAACCGCTGGACTCAGAGTGGACTCCCACGCCACAGCCGTCATCCTCTTCTCATCTTGTTCCGCAAGATAGTAGCCCTCCAGCTATAAATAATTCCCGCCTACGCCCCCCTTTCCCTGTGAAGGCTAACCAGAGGGATATTGTAGCTAGTGGAAACGAGGATGACCTGGGATATGGACCTGACATTGGTACTAATTCGCAAAAGCCAGCCGATCTCAGTACTGCTACGCCCATTGAAGATGAAGATGTCCATTCCGAGATGGAAATATCACCTCCCACTGGCTTGGGAAACGTGAGCCAAGCCGATCAGGACCCTGAGAACGACAACTTCACAAGCTCTGTAGCTTCACTGCCATCTGCCAATAAAGTTTCATTCACCGAAGTCGAACAGACTCCGTATATCCAAGTTGGTAAACGGAAAATGGCATCAGCCACTCGTAGCCCGAAGAGCATTGACGGAGACTCTGGGCAAAGATTTACCAAGGTTTCTTCGGACCCTCTCATTCCTTCAACGTACGATACCCGGCGTTTAACAGTTCAGCCGGGGCCTTCTGCGTCTGTAAGCGGAAAAGCCACGCAGACTGCTACACAAAACCCCGGTCTGGCATCTCTAGAAAGATTTAGCCCATTGGATTGTGGCTCGACGGATGGGGACGACGATTCTATAGTAGGGGGACAACTAGTGTCTAGCTTGGATGAATGTGCGCAAAATACTAATGAGGAGTATTTGGATGTATCCGTTACTGCCCGAGCTCTAGGAACCATGATGAACACGAATAAACCCGCTAGTAATTCGGTTAACGTAGGCGGATCTCAAATAGAAATGAATTCCACCCCGTCGATTATCGGAAAGCGGAAACGAAATGAGGTACCCTCTATTAAGGATCGCAATTTAGCTAAACAGCCAAAGATTTTTCAGTCGCAAACCTCTCGTCTCAGCGCACGTTCGTTCGTGGTAAGGCCTATGGAATGTCGACAACCTGGATCTGAACGCGGTCGATCCCGTTTCGGAAACAATATATTGCCATCAAAGACAGAAGGCGTGTATAATCAGTTCAAGCGAGCCTATCCTGACTATGCCGGTAGCATTGATAATTTTAAGCAGGCATGCGATAAGCTACAGCGCCTGCGGGAACAAGATTTCATGAAGCGATCATTCCTGTGGGATGATTTTGTTGTGCAATATCCGGCATATACCCTACGGCATCGCTACGAGGAGGATTCCTCCCATACTATTTCTTACGAGACTTACTTCCAAAAGGAAGTCACAAAACCACGATGTCGAAAGCGCAATCTCACTGCTCGCGACTTGGAGCTTGTCTTTGCTGACAGGGAAAACGAGCATCATGTCGCAGAGGCTTCTCTTACGCGAAATGACAGCAGAGGGTCATCTTGCGTCAATCTACTAGGTAATGAACAGGAGCCTTCAGCCCGAGAAACTCCAGTGGTTCATGTACTGCCATCAGACGAAGAACTAGACGATGGCCAGGAACTGAGCATTCCTGAGTCCAATCATGGAGAATTACTGAGCAGCCCCGAGGTGGACCATGTTGATGATATTTCTGGATCAAGTGATGAGCTTGGCGCTCATGACACTGCCAGCGTTGAACTTGGTGATCCGGATACTTCCTTTGCTCTTTCAGGTTTCGAGAAAGAGAGGGTCTCTAGCGATGAGGATATTGAAGACAAGCTCATATTGGATGAAATTGCTGAGTCAGTTGAAGGGCCACATCGATCTCTTGTGCCTTCAACAGCTACGAAGCAGGCCCGCAGCATGTCTCTCGAGCTTGACTTTGATGATGATAGCGTTATCCTCGATAGCTCCCCTTCAAACTGGAGCGAACAAGAAAGTGATCATGAAGGTAGGAGTGACCCACCGAATGAACACAGCCATGTCTCTCTTAGAAGCCAGGAGAGGCATATTTCACCTCCACCACGTTCTCGACGGCCGTACCGGCGCTTTTTCCGTTCGCCACCTGACTCTGTTCGAGACCCTTTCTGGAATTTATACAATAAAGCGAAGCAACCCGGCGAAGTTAATAATACAGATGATCCAAAGCCGTGGTATAGATTTCCAAATACACCATTCAAGCTCTATGCCCGCAACGTTGCAAAACTCCAGGCAGACTATGCCTTTCGGCAGGACGGATCCAAAGCGGATCCGATTCCTGTGGATGAAGACGGCGTTGTTCGTCCCTCGCCTCTAGGAGACCCACGGGGCATGGGTTCCATGGGGTGGAAACTTTGATAGACAAAATCTGTGACCGTATTTTCTCAAAAGGATTTTTTATATACTGGCGAAGGGGGGGAAAAAGTTATTCGGAATGCATGTAACTAATAATGATATAATGATATGTTTACGCTTATGAAAAAGGTTTATACTATGCGTTCATGGACGGCCTTTGCCCATCTCTCACTCTCTCCTTGTTTTCTTTCAGGCCCTGTGCCTGTCTTTCCCTTTGCCTTCATAAGGATTTTCTTAACTCGCCATTTGATTGGGTACCTGGCCCCAGCTGGCTTCAACGATTGACGCGACCATTTCGAACGCCCTTTGTAACCTTTTTTTTTTTTTTTTTCTGCCGCTCCGTTTTACGGCTCTATATAGCTTTGCGTTATGAGCGAAGTTTCTCTCCCGGATCTCACTAACTATATATAAGTAAGTAGACGGAAAGGGTTTGGAGTGGGGCTACTCAGCATAATCCTAGAAACAGGTTGGTTCATCGGGGTATGAATGTGAGAACTATCGGGACTTGGTTCCTCTTTGGAGAGCGTTTTCTTTTTTTTCTTTTTTCTTTTTTCTTTTTTTTTTTTCGTGTGAGAAGAATGGGCCACTGGCACGCGTAAACGATTTATTTCCATGCTAGGGAGGAAAGCGAAGGCATCATTGAAAGAATTCTCATGGTGTTTGTTCCATTTGCACGGTGAAGCAAGTTTGTGTCCATTATCACAAAGTATAAGGGCAAGTACTTGGTGGCAGAGATATATTGATTAGGAGGTATAGATTTATAACCCTAGAGAGTGCGCAAGGTAAGTAGTTGCGCAAGGTAAGTAGTAACAAACAGTAAAACCCATGTGTTCGCGATCACCCCGTTTCCCGAGAAATTAGAAATATAATTAACCGTAGCTCATTACAGCCCCATCATCCGCGGGCGCCGACTTCTCAGATCAGACACTACTCTGTATTCTTCTTACCCTCCACTGTACGCAGCAGGTCAGCCACCCGTTCATGCCCCTTCTTTATCGCCCAACATAGTGCTGTTAGCCCATCGTCATCCTTTAGATCCACATCAAACCTCCCCGTAGCCAGAAGCAGTTTAACCACCCCCTCGTGCCCGTTGCCTGCCGCCGTAGATAGGAGTGTCCTGCCATTCCAACTTGTCCAAGTCTTGTCCACATCCTTATTTCTAAGGAGCAGTTCAACCACTTTCTCCCTCCCCTTAAAAACAGCATGGGACAGCGGAGTGTCCGAATACTTGTCTTCAGCGTTCAAATTCACCCTTTCTCTTTCTAGGAATAGTTCCACCGCTTTCTCACGCCCGTTTATTGATGCCCAGGATAGCGCTGTTCTTCCGCATTCATCTTTGAGATTCACGTCTGTGTCATTCCTTGCCAACAGCAACTGAACAACTTTTTCATGCCCTCGATGTGCTGCATTGGACAGCGGCGTGCGTAGTTTGCGGTCCATCGAGTTCACATTCACAACTTCCTTTTCTAACAGCAGTTCAACCACTTTTTCATGTCCATTAATAGCTGCCCATTGTAATGGCGTCAATTCTTCTTCATCTTTAACGTCTGGATCGACCCTTGCATCTGCTAGTAGTTTCCTAACAATAGCCACGTTTCCGAACCCTGCGGCATAAGATAGAGGGGTGCGGCATTTATTATCCTTGACGATGGGGATTGCCCCCTTTCCCAGAAGATAGTCAAAGGTGATAAAATCTCCATTTTCTGCAGAATATGATATAGCAGTGCGGTTGTGTTTGTCTGGTCTTTCAAAAATGGCCCCGCGATCAATGAGATTCTTAACAATAACATACCAGCCCCGCTTCGCTGCTGACAAGAGTGCTGATCCATTTTCCTTAGTATTGCTCGTAGGGAACAACTCCAGAAAGAATAAGGTGGAAAGTAGGTCACCAGAGTCAATTATCCGGGAGAGTGATGTTTGAAGTGGTTTCCACAAATCTATTCCAACCGGTTCAGGTGAGTTGAGATCAGTGGCTTCACTGTTCTGCAGTACTGCTTCCAGTTCCTTCGCTGTCTCCTTTTCATCTAGGTCATGTAAATAACGCACCACAAGGTGACCGTAACACCTCACAGTGCTAGCAAGAGTGCGTCGACAATCCCCTTCAGTAGCGAGCGGGATGCGCTTTAAGGTCTCAAAAATAGGGTCAATGAGAAACCTGACAATGCCGTTTGCTGCCAAATATAGGCTTCCATCGCAAAAAGCAGCCTTGCGGTAGCATTCACACAATGTCAAGGTTAGCAATTGTTGGTGGTTCAGTAATTCAGCCCGTTTAATTTCATCATCCTCCTCATTCGAGCTTGATTCCGGTTGCTCGGTACGCTGAAGGGCCCATAGTAGGATCTTCTCTGCTTCCACCCATTTACCATCATGAACATGGAGTTCAGCGGCCTGTCTAGCGGAGGTGAAAGTTCCTATTGCCGATGGCAGCTTTCCTTCGATCCTAAGCGCAGGAATTATACAGGCAAAGGCGTCCTCCACGGGTCCTAGGCCACTATTTACGAAAGAATCGTGGATCCGACAGATGTTGGTATTGCTGAGACCGAAGCGTTTGGTGTCGCGCACTGTCGTTTTCCCACCAATGCTTTTAATAATCCTTGTCATCGATGCGAAAAACAGTGAATAAATCTCCTGGGCACACATGGTAGGGAAGGATTTGGTCAGCGCAGGGAGTTCCAGCATCGTGAAGTTACCACCTTCCAATACGTCGGCAGAGACATTCTGCCAGCCAAATAGGCGATTCACGTAAGAACCAGGCTCTTTTGTCTCGATGATATTAAAGCCTCCGCCAGCACGCCAGAGTTCAAAATCCAAGATAGCGTTAGTATCCTGCGGCGAATTCGATTTGGCGGAAATAATGCGCTTGAGCGGGGCTTGCAGAGGTCCATTTATACCAAACTGTCTGAGAGACCACAGCCATATCCCAAGCACCGCTTCGAGTTCAGCTTCGTCAACTCGCCACCTGCCCTCGGAGTTGCCATCCACGTCAATCTTCCGCCTGAGCGAGAGGTAGATGTTTCGGTCATTTTCTCTTCTTTCAATCATGACACTGTCCCATGGCGAGCTTCCAAGCTTGAACTCAATAGTAGGTCTCGTGCGGTCAGGTGAACATGGAACAGCCCAGAGGAGAGTAAAAGTTTCATGCCATCCATGCTCAAAGACTACATCCGTGGTAAATAGAACTGTGGCCGTGTCCTCGATAGCCCGCGCTAATGATCGTGCGATGCTTCGAACAGAAACAAACCTATCCTCCCAACTGCTCGCTAGGCGGGCAAGACGTGCCCTATACAGCAGTGTTTTTGCAATCTCATGGGGTAACCTATCTTCTGCCGATCTCCTATTAAAGGCGGCCCGCCAATGTTCGGGAAGAAATTGAACATGATCCCGAACTCCCTCTGCAGAAAGTTGGAAGCCACGTTCCGTAATGGGCAGAGCAGCATCTGGCCATTTTGGAGGGTCAGGCTGGATACCTAGGCGAGGAGTACAAGGCCAGTTTTCGGATACCTGGTTCGCATGCGATTTGTGATTGTCACCACGAACCAGCCGAAAACCAGAGAGCAGGTGGTTATTTTCGCATTGCACTGACAGAACCTCAAATGTGGTATTTGTGTTGACCTGATGGGCTTTCCCCACCATCTTGGGTTGGTAAACAGGTGACCCATTCTGTGATGGCCAGTTCTCGTCAAAGACCTTGCATCTTTCGTTGGAGAGCTCCCCGGCGTGGTGATATCTTGTGGTAGAAACTGTCCACCCAAACCGACCATCACGGCTCAAATCCCCAATGTTTAGAGACAGCCAATCCAGTTCATGACCCTCGTAGAATTCTGGACGATCCGCCAAGTAAACTTCACTCTGTTTCAAGCGCTTTATCCGGAGGGATGATCGTACCGCTGTCATTACGAGAGTAGCACCCAGCTGAGCCACTGCTACCGATGAATGGCAGGCTCTGAGGCCCAAAAATTGTAATACGAAGCCGGCTGACGCGGAGCTAATAGCGGTCCATACCAAGGCCTTTTGAGGATCTTTCTTCTTCTCTTTCCAAGACGTTATGTACGTGGAGAGTTTGCCTTTGCGATGAGTGTAGGCAAAAGAATCGAAGGCCTGATCACCGACAAATTGGGTACCAGGTTGAACCCAGTAAATTTGAGAGGCACTGGGGAATTCTCTTTCAAAGACCCTCTCCCTAGTACCCTTTTCAACTAAGCAGGCGCAAAGTGCTATTCCAGTACAGAGTAGGATAGTTCCGAAGACGGTCATCGGGACTGCATATACGTCTTGCAGGTCGTCTCTCAAGAATTTGTAGTAATATCTTGCGATAGCGGCCCATACGAGAACGCCGGACTGCAGAAGAATTCCAAATATGGATGCTGCAATATACCAACGCATTTTTCTTTTTTTTAATCCCACATTTAGAGATAGATTCGGATTTGGAGCGAAGTTCTGTTGAGACGCCATAGAATCCAAAGACTCCGCCTTTCCGCTGTTAAAGAGTGAGGCAAGGCGTTCTTCATCCTCGAAAGGCTTTTTGAGCTCCCTCCACTCATTTCGGGGCGTCTTAAGATAGTCTTCAAATGTATAGATTCCCGCGTTTGGAGGTGTGTCTGGGGCTTTTCGATAGAAGTCATCTTCCGTCGCCTCCTCATCGTGAATTATCTCTAGGAGCTTCGGGCGGCCAAAAACACGAGTGACGCCTCCATTGTTATAGAGTTCACAGACATCACGGCTGGTGGATGAGCAGAGCTCGGCTTCGGCTGTACCTGCTCCTTCCTGAGCGCGTCCAATAAAAGCTCTGAGGGACGGGGTGCCGTAAACACGGATTGCTGAGACAACTGCAGTAATGATACCAAGAGGTGCGGTTGCAAAGATGATAATGTCAGTTGTATATAGACACTCGCTCAGATACTGCTTGGTAGGGGCTTCTCCAAATAGAGAAACAAGGGGAGCAAGGTCTGTAGCAAGATTGTTGGCGAAATCAGTCCACCAGTCACTCATTGTTGGTTAGCAAATAGTTCGTCTGGGAACAATAGCATTCTGGATAGAAAATTGTACGGCAGAAAAGCGCAAGACACGGCAGGGGGGGAGGGGTGTCCTTGTCTGGTTATGTACCATTGGTGAGTTCTACCTGCAAGCAGGCACCACATGGTTCAGCCGAAAGTGTGGACGGGAATTTGGGAATCAATTCTGAGGACATTCCGTACGAGATGCCGCTCCTGCAGAGGGGTTATGACATGCAGTGTTTATCTTTACCATCCATCTTCTTTGTAGACCGGGTAAGGCATCAACATCTCATACGGACAGGACCCTGTACTTCATGAGCAGTCGGATAGGTGGCTTGCATTGGTTGTAAACGGAATGCAACTTTCCCAATGTTAGACCAGGCTTTCAGCGCCACCGTCCTCATCGCCTTTGCATCAGATACTTTTTACTGATAACCAATCAGACAGGCTATAGGTGCAGAGAGTTGTTGGTCCTGAATGATACCTCTGTTACCTTCCTGCTCCAAATTAATCCGTTTAAGGATATAGTACCTAGTCACTGCATTCATCATCATCATCGCTTTACTCCCAGGCACAGTTTGTCTGCCACCACAAGGTATCATGGAAAGGAACACCAAAGCTGCTTATCCCAAATTCCGTACGCCGATGGCCGAGTTTCAGCACGCAGCCAATTGACTCAAACATCGGCCCTCCAGGTACGCCAACTAGAAGAGAATGGATGAGATATGATGCTTAATTGAATGCTTGAGAGTCACACGAACAGGTTCATGCAACTGGTGTATGCCAACCACGCTCTAGATGCATTGAACGGTCCTGGATCTATAAATAGACAAGTCAGTTAGTTACTGACAAAATCCATTGTGCGGGACCCATGTACAGCCGTTCCGTAGGTACGGAGTGAACTCGGTGATGTTGGATGAGATGGGATGGAAGTCGGAGTGTCGTCGGCAACCATTAGGCTGGGCGGTTGGACCTTGCGCTAGCCCTCCACACATACACACACACACACACACACACACACACACACACACACACACACCCCTCCCCCTCCTTTTGCTATGCTGTGGATGGATGTAAAAAGTGGTTTGTCATAGCTGCAACAAGGCTGGGGTATCAGTTGAATTGGAATATGGAGTGATGAAGGAGGTGGGCTTGACAAATCGCGCAGAATCTGCAGCTCTGTGCCGCGTCGAAGGAGGGAAAACACACACCTACAGGTAACTAAGGTACTGTACTGTACGTACATATAGGTAGTCCCGAGGAGCTGCTCAGAAAAGATAGAACAAATGCTGATCTTAAGATAGATAGGTAACTAAGTTACCTCACTCTTTTATGTCACTCCGTCGCACAATGCACAGAGCAAAGTAATGTAATGTACGGAGTACATACTAGCAACCAAAAGCTGGGTCATGACCTAGTCAAGCTTCAATGCTGCACGTCCAACCACAGACCCTTTGTTTGACAGGCAGTGCAGCAGCCTGAGATCCGAACAGTATCCGTATCCTGTTCTCCTATATTTCTGCTGTCCACCTACCTGAGAGATTTTTCTTGGAAGTCATCGTCAGGCTAGGGAAATGAGGCTCTCAGCTGTTGGGATCAAAACCCTCAAGTTTTAGGCGACTGCCCTCTCGCGCTGAAGACCGCAGAGCGCAAATTAATCTCCCCGGCAAGCGGGGATTCGGCTGGAACTCAATCTGAGACGGCTGGCAGCCCTTTTTCGTCTCAATTGTTTCCTTTCTTTTTTCTTTGTTGCATCATACTTGTGCCTCTCTGTCCTCGCTTCATTCCCATTCAGGACCAACGTCGAAGTCGGAAAAACAAGACACGAGATGTCTGTGCTAAGTTATATATAACTATCCGTCCGCCAATCCGAAGCTCTAGTAGAGGCTAAGTTACGCAGCCAAGACGGCACGCTGAGTCTGCGGCAGCCGCCAAATGCTACCCCTGAGCGGGGTTGAGCAAGGCTCGCAAAAACCTTTTTATCAGGGTGTACAGTACTCAGACTCCTCGATTCCGGATTAGTGCCCTGGGCCCGCGCTGCTTTTGTAGGAGAATCAACCCATACTAGAAATTGGGGGTTTTTCAGAACAGCGGATCCACCATTCTGACACAGTAAATGCTATCAGAACAGTGAATTCACAGTTAAACACAATATTTACAGTAGAAATACAATAACTTTAATATTCACACTGATATTTTATTTCTATTCAAATTATTCAATATGAAAAATAAAAAAATTATAAAATCACTGTAAAATTTATCACAACATTTCTGAAAATCAGAATATGAACTCTCATTACATCTCTGAAATTTTTCATTCTCTCATCATAGTTTAACATTCATCTGTAAAACTGTTATAAAGATTATTCTGACTAGCATTTTTAAACTATAAATTGTCAGATAATAATAATGAGATTTTTAAAGAAGAGAGTGTGTTTTGAAATATATTATTAACTTATCAAATATAAAAAAAGTCAAACAAAATATTAACAGCTTTTAAAGATATATAGAAACAGCTACAAAGAGTGCTATTAAAAGAATTGTGCCGCTCAGATTCAATTAATAGAGCTAAGAAATGCTATTATGTTTTAATGAGTAAATATATTTAGCTTCTAATAATCTCATATTCTTTTTAATTTGTTTTTATTCTCTAATTTCTCATCTCTGATATCTCATCTGACAATTCATAGCTGTTAAAATATAGTACTTAATACTGATATTGCTACAAGATCTCTCATACCGGCTCTTAAATCACTCTATTTTAGCAAGTTAAATGCTGAAATCACGGAAATCTCTCAGATCTCAAAGAGTCAAATCAACTGTATAGCCAGCGTGGCCCAGTTGGTAAGACTGGTAACCAAGGCCGCACACATTAGAAGTGTGTGGGTTCGAATCCCACCGCTGGCACCTGCCACTTCTTACCCATGAAAGCCCCCATGTAATAGAGGCTGAGTCTAATTAGTAAGGCTTGATGCAGGGTAGAACTCCCTACTGCAAGCTAAGTCACTAGTTAAGTGAGATTCTGTGAACACTCATCAGAGCTGGTATAAGATGTCAATGTCTCAACTATTCTACTGTGCATCTGTCAAGGTTCTAACAATATAGAGCCAAGTCTAATGTAGTGATTATATACTACTTAAGCAAGTCTCTAACTAGAGTCATTATCAGAGCCTAGCTCTCTCTCAAATACAGAGAATGATTTTGAAAATCATCTGACTAGCAGGTCTAGACATGCATCTAGGCTCTAGACAGAACACTCTGATAGGCTTGAGTCTGTAAGCTCACTATCAAGCTCTAATACTAACAGGAAGAACTGCAGTCATCAAGTCTATGATTAGTCTCTAATATGAGATGAGGCTATAACAGCTGATTGATAGGCTTATGAGCATCTAATGAGGCCGAGATCAGCAACTGAAAGCTTGGTGTATACACTACTAAGTGAGCAGTAGCAGTCACTAACTAATATCTCTGAAAATTAGTGACTGGCTCGAGAGGACAGATACAGTGATCAGTTAATTATAGAGAATTAAATGTAATTAGCTTAAGATGCATCCTGCGGGTGACTAGCACCTGTAGTTCAAAAGAGAAGAATATCAAAGCTGATAATTCATCTGCACTGAGTTCCTGCTCACATGAATATTCATGATAATGAATTGACTGATTCAGCTGTAAAAAAGAGTGCAGAATTAAGCAGATCTATTCAAAAAATTATATTCTGATCTTTTATAAAGAGAAAAATAAAAGAATCTTGTTTAGATAAGTGAAATGAAAGCTGATAGAAATAAAAGAAGAGTATACATTATTCAAGATTTGAAATAAAACTTAAGTGAAAATCTTGTTCAATTAAATGTAAAAAGAAAATATTCTCATCTATAATACAGCTGAAACTAGGACATGGCTATTTCAAATCTTATATACAAAGATTTGATGATAGATTTGACTCAATAGAATGCTCATTCTACAATACAAATGAGAATTCTGAGTATATTATAATACACTGTGCATTATACAATAGTCTCAGAGTCAGATTGAAAGAGAAGTATAATCTAAATCAATTAAATATAAGATTCTTATTCTCAACTGAGACAGGAATTAAATACTTAATAGACTTTCTATCAGAAACTTAAGCAGCTATAAGAAAATGACTAAATTCAGAATTATCTGAGTATGAAGAGAAGAAAATTAATCAGATATAGTCTGTTAAAACAGCTATACACTCTCTTTTAATAATTTGTTTTGTTATAGTCTCTCTTTACTTTATCTTTTTCTTTATCTTTTTCTTTCAATTTCTTTCTATCTATTTATTTAATGTGTCTATCTTTGAGACTATGTTCTTTTTCTCTTTTCTTTTGTCATGATATTGTCAAATGATTTCAAAGTATCAAAAGATGTTAAAACACTGTAATTTGTAAACAGTTTTTGTATTCTGAGCTGGAATTTTCTGATTTTACATATCTGAAATTGATGAATATATAATAGTTAACTTTACAGACATAGAAAAAAACCCTGAGAACTAAAGTTCTCAGGTAGATGTCATAGTCTCTGACTGCATACATCTATAATTAAAGAATAATAATAATAATAAATCAACTGTATATTTAAACATGCAATTGAATGTGGATTTAATTCTGAACTATTATATATTATACTTCATAATGAATGACTTAGAGATGGTCTCGAATCTAGCTAACTAACTCAGAGAAATAATAGTATTAAAGATACTATTCTTACAAAGATTTAACAAGATTAATAAGAATTTAGAAGATAATAATAAATATAGAGAAGAAAGATAATATAAGTAAATAAAGAAATAAAATACTCATCTGACTGTGAGATGAGATTGACAGGTAGATTACACATTAAAAGAAGGCATATTAACAGGCAGACAGATTACATGTTAAAAAGAAGCAGGTTGAAGAGTATATTTCTCATGTATTAAATGATAGTAAAGATAATGAAAATAATCAAGAACTGAATATTCAGTATAAATTACAG